TGCACACACTCTCGGCCATAAATCTCTCATTTTGTACGAAATGATTGTTACAACATTAATCCTTTGGATGCTTAAAACGAACCAAAAGTCAACCATATAGCAAAAAGTATATAACAAATTAAAAATAAATTCATTTTTAAATATATTTATTCAATATATTGTGATATGTTGTACTCTTCGAATCTGTGATGAGTAAACTAAATTATTTTATTCTTGACTATAAGATCATCTATACAGATCCAAACTCTCAAAGGCTTGATTAAATTCTTTTACTGTGACTTTGTTGTACAATTTTACTATCTCTGTCTAGTTTACAGCGATAGTCTTCACGTGAAATTAATAATACGCACATGCGTGTGTAATTAAAGTATATGAACGTATATTGAAGCCTTCGATGCTAACGACAAGTTTATATAAAAAGAAAGAAATCAAGTGAGACAATAGTTCACGAATTGCATTGGTCCAACATAAAGAACATAACATAAACTGTCTTTGAAGAAATTTCAAAAAACGAAGGAACAACGATTGTTCAAAATCTGTTTTACGAATTATTTAAACTGTATGTATAAAACAGTATTAAGATTAAGATTATGGTACAGCCTTGTCAGGTCATTTTAAAATGTAAATTATAACCACGTCTTGATTTTATTGTACATATCCAGTGATTTATAGACGAGAGTGTATGTATGTATACTTATCTAAACATAAATCTTGCAGAAATTATGACATTACAGAGAAGTATTACAAATTGCAGACAATTTTTCTTTTTTTTTTTTTTGTCATTCACGCATAATTTCTTTTATTTTACTTGTTTACTTTTATTATTTCGAAACATTGATAGGTGAATTATCAGTGTGTTGATGAATTGTCTGCGTTATATTTCAATTTCCCGGAATGACAGCCCAACAAAAAATTGAAGTGAAGAAATTGAGAGTATAATTTGTTTTGCTGGCGATAATTATGTATTTATAAGGCACTTAGTACTTTGTTTATTTTAAAAGCAAGAATACGAAACATACTCTACACGAATTATTCGACTTGGCAAATGTACGATATCATAAATATGTATTCTTTATTCGAAGGCACACTGCAAATTCCTGTGTTACAAATATTTATAATAATTATTTCTCGTACACGGTATTATTAGGTATCAATTTTATCGTTAAACTTCTGTCTATATATTCAGTCAAGTAATAAGCGCAAATCATGTCTTCCGTATTAACAAATATTTCAACGATGATAATTATTGCTGTGAATAAATTAATATTATTATTTAAATCAATTAATTTCAATTGAAACTGAAATACATTTTGCACATCTCGTACATGTTTCGTTAATTTCAATTAAAGTTGAAATACTTTTCATGTATTTACACACCTCAAATTATATACGTTTCTCTATAAAAGTAATTTTTCTATCCGTCAGAAGTTCATCATCAATCGACAGTGAGTTCAAATAAAGTATCTAATATTGTAGTTTCATCCTCGTAATTTATAAACAGGAGAAAATTCTCTAACTAGAGATTCTAAATTGGACCATAGTCTTTATTCAAATTAACTTATGCGACATCCTTTAGCACGAAGTTATGGCTAACGTAGAAAAAGTAAATAACTATTTTTATTTCGGTGTTGAAAAGATGTATTTTTGCTTCCAATTTTCCTATTTATACGTAAGTTGCAACTATTGACCGATAGGTCAATAAATTCTTACGAATGTAAATTTTTGAAAGGATGGTCATATCGTAATATTTAATAATTATTTGACGTGAAAAATTTGCACTGAGGCAATAAACAGCATGCTCTTTAGAATTTTTCAGTCTGACTGATTACTTTACCACAAATACCTGGATATTCGGATTTTCTTAGTATGCTGTAAAATACTTCTCACAGTATTATCTTTCAGTTTTTACAGCACGTATGTATTTTGAATAAGAGTTCTTATCTATAAATTGATGGAAAATAGACACGGTCCAATTTAGTAGAGAGAAATTAATTGTCCTCTATTTTGAAAATATTCCTTTACGACCAGCCGCGTAGTGACTCAGAATTATTTCACTAGATTTTACATGGTCAATTACAATGCTGAAATTGTCCTCGAATTCTATATCAACGAAGGCTATCTCAAACAGTGAATTTTCCTCTACCAATACGGTGGAACTTTTCTCAACAATTAGTTAATGTTCAAGATTGAGAATACTTCTAACATACAAAACTTGAAACCACTCGATCGTATCCATGAAAAAAAAAAAAGATATCATAAATGTAATAATAAGTTTTCGGATAAAGAGATAGTTAAATACATATGTATATATATAAATGTCTTCGAGTTTTTTCGCGTGTACAAAAAGGCTTAAACCGGCTTAAACTCAATCTTTTAAAGAGTATCGAGAAGAGAATCCAAAAGATCCAACTGATTCTCGTCCCAGCCCGCGGTAGCGATTAGCAAACCAGTGAGATCGTCTTCGCTTAAACTAACTTGGGTAGAATCAGGAATCTCCGAGAGACAGTCTGGAATCGGTGGAGACACGCTGCTGGGCGGTGTCTCGTACAACGTTGACGGGCAATTGATCGATGGTGTACCATTGCTTTGGACATTGCTCGTTACCATTGTCCTCGCCGACGTTAGCTTCTTTGATCCACGAATTCGTTGTGACATGGTCGCGCGTCGCTTCGACTTTCTACCCTCCTCCATTCTCTCCAAGTCCAGTTTCCAGAAGCCGCCTTTGCCTGGCTCGTCCTTCGAACGTGGCAACTTCACGAAACATTTGTTCAACGACAGATTGTGTCGGATCGAGTTCTGTTTTAAAAAAAAAGAATTAAACGGTAGTCGTTGTAGTATTTTCATTATTGCCAAATGCAAGAACTAGGTGAATTACTAAATATAAAAAAACCATACTTTTAGCAATAATGTAATCTTGTCAATTTAATTATTTATTAATGACTTCGGTGTATATACTATACTAATTTACTGATTAAGTAATATTTAATAATGAAATTCACTATTGCCAAATGCAAGAACTAGGTGGATATTATTACTAAATATAAAAAACGATACTTTTAGCAATAATGTAATCTTGTCAATTTAATTATTTATTAATGACTTCGGTGTATATACTATACTAATT